CAAAAATAAACAGTGAATGAGAGCATGTCCCATTGCTGCCAATGGTGATTGTCACAATGGCAGGAGTGTGTTGGGATATGACGAAATATGAGTTTTTACGTTCCAAAAAGAAACTATTCAAGTACAAGGTTTTCGACACGTGCGATCGGAATTTGATCGTGATGTCGGGATTCGACGCAAGTATGCCGGACGCAAGTCTGTCGGACAATCTACATCCACACAAAAAGGGAATGACCCTATACAAGTGAGATATCGATGTTGTGTACAATACAGTAGGGAATAATACAAGATGTCCCAAAGTACTGCATCCAACACAGAATTGTCGTAGAGGTTGAACCAAGTGCTGCAAACAAGGGATTTTCCAAGGGAAAATCGTTGAACTTACTTTTGTGATTGAATCATCAATTCAAGACAAATATTAATCAAATAGGAACAATTTCACTCAAAGTATACCAAGGCCAGCGGAAATTGGGCTTGTTCTCCCATACCGCAAACAGCTTGTTTCCAAAGACCCCTTCTTTTTTATTGTTGCGTTGATCATGAGCACGGTGGATTGTGCAGAAATAGGCAAGGGTTTGCAGGTTCCACTGAGACGAATTGATGTTCTGGACAATGCGATTGTACTTCAGTGGATTCTCGACCTCCTCCATCTCGGTGTCGCTGTTGTTGTTGACAATTGGAGGGTCCAAATCGTCGGATTCCTTTTTCGATCGAATTTCGGCGGTTTTGGCTCGGCTTTTTTGTGAAAAACTGATGCGACCCTGAGTAAGAGCAGTAGAATTAACAGTTTTAGCAGCGATTGCCACTTTCTTGCTGTTCTTGGACTTTCCCATCGTTGGGATATGACAAAATATGAGTTTTTACGTTCCAGAAAGAAACTATTCAAGTACAAAGCTTTTGACATGTACAATCGGACTTTGATCGTGATGTCGGGATTTGACGCAAGTATGCCAGATGCAAGTCTGTCGGACAATCTACATCCACACAAAAAGGGAATGACCCTATACAAGTGAGATATCGATGTTGTGTACAATGCAGTAGGGAATAATACAAGATGTCCCAAAGTACTGCATCCAACACAGAATTGTCGTAGAGGTCGAACCAAGTTCTGCAAACAAGGGATTTTCCAAAGGAAAATTGTTGAACTTACTTTGTGATTGAATCATCAATTCAAGCCAAATATTAATCAAATAGGAACAATTTCACTCAAAGTATACCTAGACACAGGAGAACTATTGTTGTGAAAGTGTTGTACAATCGATTACGAATTTAGATTGCAGAGAGTTTGTTCTGAGCGCTAAAGGCACTCACGATAGAGCACTGCTTTATTCTAACAATGATTCAAAAACAATTCAAACCCTTTCACTTTCACCATGTCCATGATCAGCACTGCAGTCCATTTCAACAACAAGCAAACATGCATCTGAAGGCACAATCAAATTCCACTTCAGATGGAAGAGGAAGAAGAACTTCTTCTTCAAACAAATACATTTCCTCCTTGGGATCCATATTGACATTGAGTTGTCCAAAGCGAGCAATTTTTACCTTTCAATTTTTACCTTTCAAAGCAATAAACTCTTCCCCTTCAATAAACTCTTCCCCTCAGGCTGTTTCTTCATTCGCGAAAATATGCGCGAGAAACAGTCTGATATTTCCTGAATATTATGGCTTGCACAGAACTGAAAAAAAAGCACATATCGGATAAATGGGGTTTGCAAATCAGCTCACGACTACCAGCTTCTACGTACGTGTACATGTCGTTAGCTGGAACCAAATCCGGGCTATTTTCTTTCAAAAAGCAAATCAAAATATATGAGGGGAGAGTTTCAGGGGATATGAGACTCGCGAAACACCAGTGCTTAAAATAATAATCAGGAAGATCCAGTTCTACCGGTAGATTGGATGGTCCTGGATCATCAAATATAAAGAATAAGCAAACTAAAAACATTCTATACCAGCCCCTTGCAATCTGATACGCAAACCTGCTTTTCCAGAATGCACGCAACCTAGCCAAACCCCAGTTGAACAAGTTCTGGCCTTCCTGGAGAATGTGACAGTATATTGGCAAACCGGAATGACTAGCGTTACATGGTGATGGAGATGTATAATAGTAGAACGTATTGTTCAAGCTTCTAGCTTGATTCTCTATTGACTATAATTTTTGTCTTCAACAGTAGTATCCAGTTTGAGTGTCGTCTTGTCATTGTTCAAGTCAAGTCACTGTCTCCGCATTGGCAGAATCAAGCCCTCATTTCTATTCTATTCTCTCGTCAGAATTTTTTTTCACAAAGAACTCTGCAAGCGTCTTTCTGTACGATAGTAGACAGCTTCGTTCAAAACACTGGCCTGGAGAAGAAAAAAATTGGCCACAACGGAGCCCAGCCGGGATTCTGCGTTTGTTGTCGTTTTTGAATCTTTCCCAACAAATGTTGATTATTGTGTCTTCGAACTTTGCATACACATGTGTATATTTGCAATGAAACTGAGCCTTGCGTTCGCCCTTTACGTTTCTACCCAAACAACAAGCCGATTGATTTTTCAGGTCCAGATAATCAGCAAATTGCACAGGTTCGTTGTCGCAAGCCTCACAGAAGTGTATACTTCACTAGAATCGCAGCGATAATCTCAACTAGTAGATTTGACTGCTCTCTCATGCCTTGTTTGACCTTTCCAGGATGATGTCGATTCAATCACAAGATGATGCAATCAAGTTGTTAAAACCACTTTCCAACAAGCGCGAAGTTGGGGGGTGGTTGCACTTCTATCGATCCGTAGGACCTCTCGATCGATTGCATGTCTCTCATAACAAAAAGTTTGACTCCGAATCCAAATGCTGGCGTATTGTCGCAGCTCGCGTGAAGCTGATGATTCATTCTCCGCTTGTTGTGCCGCTTGTTGCACTGAAGTCTGCCGTTCTCGCTTCAGGCGCCTGCCATGTCGTCATTTTTATCTCACTAGGTCGCAACTGTTATGGTGCTGCTTGTTTGTTTTGCGGTTCCTTGGCTTTTGTCTGCAAGCTTGAAGTTGATGTGATGTCGATGCAAAACAATGACACATCTTACAAAATGACACATCTTACAAAATGCTTCAGACCAGTGCAGTGTTAAAATCCTGAGACGGCTCCACAGGAGCAAGGCCTCGGGATTGGGCTTTGAGTCAATAAAGGTAGTTTATACGAAGTTGGTTGATAAATAATCGAATTAATAAATTGTGAGGGTATCACTACTTGATAATACTTGGAAAGAGTTGCTGCATCGAATTTCTAAGAAAGCTAGTGAAATTCAAAGAGAGCTAGAGCATTGATCTCCAGTCGTGACTGGAGTCCCAGCTAGCGGAGTAGTGAAGGCGTCTGTGCGTCAGTACGTCTACTGAGAGCTCAATATTCCAACACTCCCTCTCGCCGAGCTATGCAGGTAGCGGGAGATGCTTACCAGCCAATTAACCATTTCCTATGTTTGATAAAGAGTTCGACAGCCAGCGGTTTTGTCAGTATATCAGCTGGTTGATCCTCAGTATCAATAGGATGAATGGTAATCTCCTTCCTTGTTACATATGACCTAAAGTGGTGCAGTTTCGTGCAGAGGTGTTTTGTCCTGGGTCTCCACTTGTGGACTCTTGCCATTTCCAATGCTCCAGTATTGTCTTCAAAGACTCTGCAATGGACTTTTGGGCGATGATCTAGGACAGGGATTCCATGCCGTTTCATTTCCTTGAGTAGGTTCATGAGGGGAATCGCCTCACGCAATGCATAACTGAGACCAGTGTATTCGCTTTCGGTAGAGCTCAAAGCGATTTCGGTTTGTAATTGACTTTTGTGAATTATTGGAACACCGGCGTACGTGATGACGTAGCCATGACGCGAGCGTGCCGTGTCTGGATCATGTCCATAGCGTTCGTTCCAGTTCCCACAAAAATCTGCGTCAACATACACCTCAAATGATTTTCTCAAGTCCGGTTCGATGAACATTCCCTTATCTGCCGTGCCTAAAAGGTAACGTCCAATTCGTTTGATTGCTTCACCATGCGCTTTCCTTGGTGCTGACGAAAATCTGCTGCACTGGTGACATGCGTATGCAAGTTCCGGTCTTGTCCCTTTCTCCAGGTAGGCTATTTTCCCAATGAGTGATCGATAATTGAATTGATTGTCAAATTCCGGGGAGTCTGCTTCCTTTTGAAGGATTCTGGAGTGGATCATTGGAGTGTCTCGAGAGTTCGAA